CTGAATGCCAGGACTTCAGCCTGGGTGAACCAGAAAGGATAGACAACACTACCCTATATTAACCATGAATGAAAACTAAGTATGTTCTATATCCCAGAAGCACTCAGGCATTACATAGAATGCCACGACTTCAGCTTGGGTGAACCAGAAAGGATAGACAACACTTCCCTACACTGACCCTGAATGAAAAGCTAAGTATCTTATATATCTCACAGGCACTCAGGCATTACTCTGAATGCCAGGACTTCAGCCTGGGTGAACCAGAAAGGATAGACAACACTTCCCTATATTAACCATGAAAAAAAGGTAAGTATGCTATATATCCCAGAAGTACTCAGGCATTATGCTTAATGCCAGCACTTCAGCCTGGAAACCAGTAAGGATAGACAACACTTTCCTATATTAACCATGAATGAAAAACTAAGTATGTCATATATCCCAGAAGCACTCAGGCATTACTCTGAATGCTAGGACTTCAGCCTGGGTGAACCAGAAAGGACAGACAACACGTCCCTATATTAACTATGAACGAAAAACTATAAGTTTGCTATATATCCCAGAAGCACTCAGGCATTATGCTGAATGCTCTATTAATCTAAGAAATATGACAAATAAATATATATCTCAGAAGTGATCAGGCAACACGAAAGAAAAGAATATTATTACAGTATTAAACTTCAAGAAAACAGATTTCTTTAAAATAAAACAATGTTGACTGTGCCATACTACAGTGGGTGCACACTCAAACTCAAATGTTATACATTGCATGCAGAGAACATAAATTAACATCACATAGCTCCTCTTCAAGGAGAAACAGCAAATCATCTCTTAAACCCTTCCATCTGAAACAGACAGAAAAAAAGCAGTGAATTTAGTTTCCACCTTTATAATCCAAACCTACCATATTTCTGATGGTAGCTGTCTGTCAAACTAAGTATCCCAAAGTAAGATTTAAATGTGTTCCAATAGAAAGTGAAGTACCATACTGCAAGCTGGACTTTTTTATGCATGTTAATACAGAAATGCAGTGTTGTACCTACCCCCCAATATTTGCCTTGCTCTTTGGGAAACATTCAGCACAGGCTTCCTCGCGAGGAACATCAGGACAGGCACATTCCTACGAATAAAGTGCATGTATAACTTAATAATTAAGTGAGCTAAAGTCATGTAATGTTCACTACTATTTGTAGATATATAATCACTGTTCCCCACAGATAAAATATGTTCATTTTTATGGAGAGATTTCTGCCTTTCCATAAAATCAAGAAAGCCAAGAAAGCTCTCACTAATTGATTACAAATAAATTGTATCAAAAATACCAAAAATCTGAGTATGTTGTGTGTTATTGTAGAATTCTGCTATGATGCATGTCATTTAGCAATTGCAGGTATAACTTTGCAGAATACACAGCACACTGTGTCCAATCCTCGCTTGCAAAGTTCATTGATCTGATTAGTCAGCAACGCCACCTTTTTGCTTGAGTAGCATTATCAGTGCTTTGTAATCAAAAGTAACTGTCATGAAAAAAGACAAGAAGATAATATCAAGTTGAAATTTAATTAGCTAAGCCACAGATCTTAAATGGTAGACTTTCTATTGAACAACACTTTCCAAGATATTTTCTAACACTGCCAAGCATAAAATGAATTCAATAATACTATAACATGGCTAGACATGTAACATAAAAACCGTCATTGCAAAAATGAAAAAAAATAATAAGATTAAAAATATATAAAAAGTCAAGATTGGCAGTCATAAATAACCTGCAAATTTAACTTTAAAGCATCTTCCATCATCCACTATTCCAGTTTTCTCAATGGCATCCCTCTGGCAATTTATATCTTTTATCGTAGAAAAATAGAAATGGAATAAATCATTATACTGTCAAGACCCTATCAAGGAAACAAACCGGAAATTTCTCTAGATGTAGTTGGATTTTTTTATGAAATTTAACGGCAATTTTCCTGCCAAGTAGAAATGAGTTCTGACACACCACAAAACCAACATTCACAACAAAACACAAGACAGCAAATACACTTTTTCCAATCTTAATAAAAATATTGTAGAGACCCAATGTCTCTACTCCGTTATCAAGGGCAACCAAACTCTTGACATCACAGGCGTCCCAAGTTCACGTCTCGAGCAAAAGCGAAGGATTATTTCTTGAAAGCGTCGCGCGTTGTGTGACGCGGTGTTAAGTTACGCGAGCAACCGTTGAGAATTTGAATGCGTAAAATGTTCATATTTCGGAATATTTAGTGTTTTAACTGGACAATATATTATTTCCCATACTATTCCTTATAACACATTCAAATTCTCAACGGTTGCTCGCGTAACTTACCGTAACACCGCGTCACACAACGCGTGACGCTTCTAAGAAATAATCCTTCGCTTTTGCTCGAGACGTGAACTTGGGACGCCTGTGTTGACATGCGTTGAATTGTATCGTTGTTTCATTCAAACTATCAAATAATTAACTAACAATTTATCCAACGAACAAAAGAACGATTCAAAGTTTTCCGTACCCTGGAGATAACGGAGAAAGTAAATAAACTAAGGGAAAACAAAATACAAACGTGCCATCTGCTTTTCTCCTCAAACTCAACAACAAAGAGAAAAGGAAAAACAGTCAATGAGGTCAGCGGCTCAGTGTTCTAAGCCGTCTCATAGTGTCCACTTGAAACTAACAAATATAAACTTTATGACTTACGCCGGTTCGTCCTAGCTTGGAAATGCTAAGTAACGTTTGCCAAGCTTGGTCCAAGATCCTCGACTGCAGTTTGAAAAACAGCAGGGTCCAGTCTGAGAGAATGCAAAAACTGAGGGTTACTGTCCCCCAGCCTTGCTTCCAACGCTTGCAGTAGGCTGCTGCTGTTGATTCTAATTTTCTCAGCGATGTCGCTGAGCATTCGCCCCACCTTAGGACTGTGGACCTGACCTGCGATTACATCTGATCGATGTCCATACATCCCCGGCGACCTTCTCCTCCTTCTCCTTAATTTTAACTCTGATGCTGGTCTTACTTAGCTGAGTCTTTTTATTTCTTCTGATAGGGAATCTAGCTGACTCCACGTTTGATTGAGGTCGGCCTTTAGTCGATCGTTTTCAATTCGAATAGCTGCGGAGGTATCACGAGCAGCTTTCGGCTCTTCGCGAAAGTCATCGCTTGGTCGAGTCTTGCTAGTCTCCGTTTTGATTTTAAGCGAATTTATTTTATCGACCAAACAAAGATATTTCATCACTTCTCCTCCTTTGAATTTCTGCCGGAAGATGGCAGAAACAACTCCAAAGAGAGAGGCGATGGCCACTTTGTTGTTCTGGGCATATCGGCATCCAAGCCTCCCCATTTTTCAAACTGAATCCGATAGCTGGACCGTACAAAACTCGCTTAGAAAATGTGCCACTGACAGGCTATTTCAGAAAAACTTACTGACCCCTATGCCACATTTCTTGAAATTTAAGATAAACCATTTCCTTGGCTCACCTGTAGAAGGAGAATGCAGCAATTCAACCCTTTGAAGTTTGAAGGGATCCATAACTGCACTCGACCGCGGGAAACTAAACTTTCCCGCTTTTGCCTATGCATATTAATATGAAATCCAATCTCGAAATGTCAACAGTCGCGGGCGCCGATGTAATTGACATTTCCCCCTTTTTCGCGTTAATTTTAAAGCTTTGGATTGAAGACTATCTAGAAAAGCTACGATATGCCTTTATACCGTCGAGGAAGAGGCGACATAGAGATAGAGAGATTCTTAGAAAATACGCAAGCAGGTTCTTGGTCAAATTGCTAGCTTCAGTCAACAATGGGAGACCCAGAATACAAACCCGGACGACTTAGAAAACGCTGTTGATCAAATGACCGAGATCTGAACATTGGCGTTCTTCATCAGAGTGTACCTACTAACAGCGCTGCAAATAATTCAGTTGTTGGCCTGACGAGTATTTTATATACGATATACGAACACATCTTTGTACGTGACTCAAAGGTTTAAATACAGAGAGTGCCTGTTCTTTTGAATACCAATGCCCAGTGAGCAGCAGTGGCAAAAAAGGTCGTCCTCGTTTAGAAATTATGAAGGATCAACTGGAATTCTTGCGAAGTAAACACTTTCTCTGGGCTGGCATTGCTAAATTACTGGGAATTTCTGAGAGAACTCTTAGAAGACGAAGAGAGCCTTTGGACTCGAAACGGACGGTTTTACTGAGATTTCAGAGAGCAACCTTACAGGTGTCGTTCAATCAGTGAAATCGCTTACTCCCAATATTGGCCAGAGTCGCATGCTAGGTGCATTGAGGAACAGAGGTCTGCACGTGCAGCGCTGGAGGGTCCGCGAAATAATGAGGAAAATGGACTGAATTATTTGCAGCGCTGTTAGTGGGTACACTAATTGAAGAGACTCGCGTCATTCCTATAAAATGGTTAAACGGAAAACAGAATGCGAGCAGTTTCTTATTTTTCTTAAATATAGTGAGGTCACCCGTATCCTGTGAGCATGGAGAAGCCGCGAGACGCGTGACTCGTGTGTCGCGTCTTTTTGCCGCTCCACGCTGTCGGAGTTGAGCAAAAACAAGAAACTTTATTACTGATGGGATACAAGAGATTCAGGTTATCTCGATTTATCTAAACACATTTACTTACATGGTAAATATTTGTTTATAAATCTATGAACTGATGCCGATTCTTTTTGGGACAAAATACCAAGCAAAACAAAAGTTATCTAGATCTTCAAAACAAAGCATGCTTTTGCACAAAGACTGAGAATCGTAATGCATATTATGATACTTTAAAGTGCACCTACACCCAAAAAATTTTTTTCGCTTAACGAAGTAAGCTTATTTTTTTGAGTATTTCTGCGCAAAATTTTTTTTATTTGCTCAAATCTTCAATTTTCTATGCCCAGTCAAAATACGGAAAATCGGCCGCCATCTTGCCCCACGACCGAGTTTAAAGAGGAATGGCTCTAGTGGGTAATGTGACGTCAAATCGAGAACACGAAAGTCTGCATNTCTTTAAACTCGGTCGTGGGGCAAGATGGCGGCCGATTTTCCGTATTTTGACTGGGCATAGAAAATTGAAGATTTGAGCAAATAAAAAAAATTTTGCGCAGAAATACTCAAAAAAATAAGCTTACTTCGTTAAGCGAAAAAAATTTTTTGAGTGTAGGTGCACTTTAATGATTATATTCGAATGTTCCCAAAAATCTTCTGATAATCTGCCCCCACCCACCCAACACCCTCCCCCTCGCCACTGAGCCGTACTGTTTTCACTTAGCGGCTGGTCAGCGGTCCGTTTATGAGGTAAACATGGCGATCGCTTCGGGATCGCCGTTCTTGTCGATCAGAAAATCAAAAACCCAGCATGATATTGGCTCGAAGATGAAGCAGTTGTGTTATTTGATTCGTACTTCACATTCGAGTCGAAGCTTGGGTGACGCAAGTTATTTCTTATGATGTCATCGGCAAGGGGAATTCGAATACTAGTTGTAGTGTTTGAATTGTTGGAAAAAATGGTCGCACGAGAATGTAGGAGTGGTAACTTCAACAAACAGTTGCAAATTTTACTGCTTGAATTGAAAGCTTAAGAAAAGTTCATTTTAATTGCTTTCGTATGTATTTCTGACGGTTTTAGACCTACCCTCTCGATTTATATCTGCTACGCTTCATGTTGACAAGTCCCTCAAAATGGCGGCCAAACTTGGAGATTGCCGAATATCAGGTAAGTTCGCGGAGTTATAAAGTTTTCGCAAAGGTTGGGCCGCAAATTTTTTCTTTAGTTACCTTTTCTATGGAATCTACTTTTTAGCTATGTTAGTTGGATTAGTTAAGAACGTCTCACTTTTTAAAAAATGTACCTTGAATTTGTTCGGTTTTCGCGTGTGTGACTTAAGTGAACCGATAAGGTGTCATTCAAGTCTTCCTGTTTCCTTGATTGAAAATGTGATGTACACGAAAGTCACCTCGATGGATAAGATAGAGTTAATATACGTGGCTGTGGTATTTTTTTTTTTTTTTTTTTTTTTTTTGCTGAGTTCCGTAGTTTTTTGTAAATTGTCCTCCAAAGTTGTCTCAAATTACAGTCTTGAAAAGTGTCACGACAGTTCTTCGCTCGAGTGAAATTTAACTTCCGGAAAACTCTGAAAAATAAAGAAATCCGATCAAACGGATTGTGGTTTTAGTATAGGTACACAAATGAACGAAATCTGTGTCTCAAACAAAATCGACCGGATCGCTCTTACAGAGACTCTAGATCTCTTAATTTCATAGCGCGCGGAGCCAGCGCGTGAAGCCAGCGCGCGAAGCCAGCGCGCGAAGCCAGCGCGCGAAGCTAGCGCGCGAAGCCAGCGCGCGAAGCCAGCGCGCGAAGCCAGCGCGCGAAGCCAGCGTGAATCCCACGCGCGCGAAGCCAGCTTGAGGGAGAGCCCCATACCCATGGAGTATGGTCAACCTCTTTTCGTGCCGAGCGTACGTACGTACGTACGTACGTACGTACCTTCAGATTGCACGAGTAGGGTAGGGAAGACTATCAAAACGAAGGGAGGGGTGTCTCAGGCGAGTCTTGGCAAATGCACATCTTTTATGTTATCATTAATATTACGAACTTGGGAGCTC